GGACCAAGAAGGACAAGAAGCAAGGGGCTTAAATTGCAGCAAGGGAGGTTTAGGTTGGACCTGAGCAAAAACTTCCTGTCAGGGTGGTTAAACACTGGAATAAATTGCCCAGGGAGGTTGTGGAATCTCCCTCACTGGAGATATTTAAGAGCAGGTTAGATAAACAGCTATCAAGATGCTTCATCCTGCCATGAGGGCAGGGGGCTGGACTTGATGACCTCTTGAGGTCCCTTACGGTTCCAATATTCTAGTCTATGATTCTATTCTTTTCTCTGCCCTTTTATTCATGGCCTAACCCAGGGGCAGGGAACCTGTTTTTGGGTCAGGGGCCACTGACCTGCAGAAAAATCAGTTAGCAGCTGCACACAAGTGAGAATCACCCCCCAAAACAAAACAAAACAATAACAACAGAAACCCACTGTCTGACGTGGTCTCCAATTGGGATTGAGAAAGACTCTTCTTATATTCCCCTCACACAACAGAACCTAGTGGGGCCCAAGCGAATAGATTTTATGTGCTCCAGTTTCATAGAATACTAGGACAGGAAGGGACCTCGAGAGGTCATCGAGTCCAGTCCCCTGCCCTCATGGCAGGACCAAATACTGTCTAGACCATCCCTGATAGACATTTATCCAACCTACTCTTAAATATCTCCAGAGATGGGGATTCAACAACCTCCCTGGGCAATTTATTCCACTGTTTGACTACCCTGACAGTTAGGAACTTTTTCCTAATGTCCAGCCTAAACCTCCCTTGCTGCAGTTTAAGCCCATTGCTTCTTGTTCTATCCTCAGAGGCCAAGATGAACAAGTTTTCTCCCTCCTCCTTATGACACACCTTTAGATACCTGAAAACTGCTATCATGTCCCCCCTCAATCTTCTCTTTTCTAAACTAAACAAACCCAATTCTTTCAGCCTTCCTTCATAGGTCATGTTCTCTAGACCTTTAATCATTTTTGTTGCTCTTCTCTGGACCCTCTCCAATTTCTCCACATTTTTCTTGAAATGCGGTGCCCAGAACTGGACACAATCCTCTAACTGAGGCCTAACCAGTGCAGAGTAGAGCGGAAGAATGACTTCTCGTGTCTTGCTCACAACACGCCTGTAACTCATGGAGGGATGGCAGGGAGGAGGGGGAGCCTTGAGCCTTAGGGGCCAGATCCAGGCAAGATGGGGGCTGCTTCTGAACCTGAGGCCTTAGGTTTCCCACCCCTGACCTAAACAGCAGCATAGGAACATTTTTAAGAGTGGGGATGTTGAAATCCAGTCTCCTCACCCCTGTGCATCCCCCCAGCTGAGGCCTGAGCAAAGCCCCAGAGCATGGGGCCAGCAGCTGGGACCCTGGGCAAAGGTTTGGGAGCAGAGCCCCCAGGGTAGCAACTTGTACCCTAGGTGCTGGGCCATGAGTGCACGGGCGCTGCAGCACCCGCACACCCCTAGTTCCACTGCCTATCGACCTAAAGAGCTTTTGAATTATATTGGTTTTGCAGGATTGTGATGATCAGAGATATTGTTTCCTAGAATTCAGCCTTTTCTTCTGAAATTTCTGTCCATCGAGGTTGAAGTCTATTGAAAACCCAGGGCAAAGTCAGTACTTCTGAACACAAGGGACGGCTGGTGCTAGTCGTAGTGTAGATAAGATCTATGCAACCTAGTAGCTCTGATCTAACAATCTCCGCGCCATCGGCCGCAATCCTGAGTCTCTTACACCGCGACCCCCAACACCCTCTTGGGATTAAGATGAAGCCATTTACACTTGGCTTCCCTTCTGCTCTGAGCCAGGTTTGTCCCCAGGTGTAAGCAGACCCAATAGTTGGGTTTTCATTATATTTTAAAGGTTGCCTGTCGCTGCTGCTGACTCCGGCACCTGTGCCATGCTAAATTAACACTTGCAGAGTGATTAATTGAGAGGGGCCCCTGCTTTCAACGGTGCTGGCTTAGGGACTGCTTCAAAGCTTGCTGCAGGCAAGGGAAAGTTTTATTGACTTTCAAAAGTCTTAGACGGGTTGCCACGTTAGTCTGTAACTTTAAAAATGAGTAGTCCTGTGGCACCTAAGCCCTGGTCTACACTAGGGAGTTATTTCATAATAAGTGGAGCATTCACGCTATCAAACCCGTTATTTCAAAATAATGGGCCAGTTATTGTGAAATCTGTACTCCGGGGGTGTGTCTCCACTGCACCCTAAACTCGAAATAAGATATGCAATTTGCGCTGCGCTACGAATTGTGTATCTTATTTTGACTGAATTTCAAAACAGCTTATTTTGAAATTTGGCGCATCTACACAGCACCAAATTTTGAAGTAACGCACTATTTCGAGCCATCCGTTATCCCTCGTGCAACGAGATTTACCGGAATGGCAAAATAGCGCGCCTGTTATTTCGAAAAAGATTTCGAAATAACGGGCGGCTTGTGTAATTGCAGGGTGGATACCTCTGGTACCCCAAAATAGCCGTGCAGTGTAGGCATGCCCCTGCTTTCTTCGGGGAATAACGCTAATTTCAAAATAATTATTTCAAAATAGCGGTAGTGGACTCGGCTGCTGCTATTTCGAAATGACTACTCCCCAGAGTAATTTGAAGTAATTACTCCTCAGTGCTTCCCGGGGCTCTAAGTGGAAGTAGCACATCCACAGTAACGGAGCCTGCCTCGGACTAATTTCAAGGCTCCCCTGTAGTGGGGACACACTATTTCAATTTTGTTATTTTGGGAGTTATTTCAAATTTAGTTATTGCTAAATAATTCCCTAGGGTAGACATGCCCTATATAGAGTACATCTATACAGCAACATTATTTTGAAATCACTAGCATTATTCTGAAATAACTTAGTCTGTGTCTACTGGAGGACTTCTTACTCCGACTCCTGTAACCCTCATTGTAGGAGGAGTATGGGAAGTCGAAGGAAGAGTGCTCTATTTCGAAATAAGGGCTGTGTAGACATGCCCAAATTTGAAATAAGCTACGCAATCGACAGAGCTCAATTTGTGTAGCTTATTTTGAGTCAAACCCTGCTGTGTAGACGTACCTAGAGACTAACAAAAATATAAAGAGTCATGAGCTTTCATAGGTAAAACCCATTTTAGTGAGCTTTGGCTCGGACCTTTAGTGTGTCAAAGCCGAGAGAGCCTGGCAGTGGCATAGGAGACTGTAAATTATATTTTTCTAGCTCAGAGGGGGCGGAGGTCCCTTATGGAGGTTTCTCTAGCTCTGAGTCTAGGCAAATTTAAACAGAACCACTTGGGCAGAGACTAGAGTGATGGTAACTCTAGATGGGCAGCTAAATTAGCCTATAGTGTACAAATCTGTCCAAGTACCATTGGCTACTCACAGTGCATTGGACAGCACGATCCTGTTGGCATCGGGAAAAGATGAAGGGATCACCACCTCTTAGGTTCAGCCCCTTTGCCGGTTTTGTGCTTCCCTAAATTGATTTCATACTAAGCCCGCTGTAAATTTCAGTGACTCCTGAGAGGGGTTGGATTAACCAATCCGTCTCACTACATGCTAGATTCCAGCAAATGTGAATGAGTCACTAGCAGCAAAACACGGTTCAGGGATTTACGGTTTTTCAAAGGCACTTACTGACTCACTCTGAGTGAAGGAGCATCCTATGGCTAAATGCCCTCTAAACACCGGTGTTAACACTTGATCCATTTTTAATTCTCTGCGCTGTTACCCCTTTGCTAATCTCTCTGTGTGCTCCAGTGTTAAATCTTTTCTCTTTCATGGCACTAATTCTCAACAGTTATGTTCACAGAGGGCTAGCTGGGGCTGGGTCTTTTATCTTTTTTAGTCTCAACGCGGGGCTCATATTTTTGTAATTAGTCTAATTAAAAACGAGCAAAACCGCTCCAAATCTCAGCCCCTATTAATCTGGAGCAAATCCACACCCTGCCTCCTCTCTCGACGCGTCTTCTGCCACTTAGATACTGCCAATCCCTAAAACGCTGGAATGCAAAATTACTGTTCGTGCTATTGGTCCTCACATTTCAACACTGCCTGCATAATACAGGCTCGTGCTGAATTTTGCAAACAAAGCTTTTTGTGCAGCTTTGTTTGCCTGGTGAGCTATAAAGACCAACTTGTTTAGCATACATGGGCATCTGCATTGCCTTCCCAGATGAATGCAAAATCAAAGACAAGCAGGCATGGCTTAGCTATAGTTTTCTACGGCACCCATCGGCACAGTAGCTAAGCGATTCCCCGGGGGAAATTAAATCCACAAAGCCCTTCCTGGTTTCAACAAAAGACAGGACTATGTAGCACTTTAAAGACTAACAAGATGGTTTATTAGGTGATGAGCTTTCGTGGGCCAGACCCACTTCCTCAGATCAAATTGTGGAAGAAAATAGGCATGACCATATATACCAAAGGGATACAATAAAAAAAAAAGTGAACACATATAAAAAGGACAAATCAAATTTCAGAACAGAGG